GATCACTTGAGGTCAGGAGTTCGAGAGCAGCCTGACCAACATGAAGAAATTCCATCTTATATATATATATGCCATTTATAATTATATATATATAATTTTTTATATATATATAAAAATAATTTTACATTATATATAATTTTATATATTTTTTATCTTTTTTATAATTTTATAATATATATTTTTATATATGTATTTATATAAATAAAATTAAATATATATTTAATGTTATATTTAAATATATATTATATATCAAATATATATACATTTATATATATTATCTTATATTTTAAATATATACATTTAATATAAATATATAATTGTATATAAATATATATACAATTATATATATTATAGTATATATACATATATTTATCATATATATATAATTTATTATATAAATATATAATATATAGTAAATAATTGTATATATACAATTATAAATATAAAAATATATAATATAAATATTTCATTATTTATGTGTTTTGTATATATATTACATATATAAATTATATATAAATATTTTATATATAAAATAAAAAATATGACATATATAATAAATATATGTGTACATTTATTAAATATATATATATATTCAGGTCGTCATCTTTCTATTATGTAGAACATACAGGTTCTACATAATAGAGGGTGCACAGCTGGAAACTTCCTGTGCCTTGCCGGCGCCTTGTCCTTCAACGCCTTCAAGACCGTGTTGGACATAGACACCAGTGGCACCTTCAACGTGTCTCGCGTGCTCTATGAGAAGTTCCTCCGGGACCACGGAGGGATGATTGTGAACATCACTGCCACCCTGGGACACCGGGGGCAGGTGCTCCAGACGCGATGACTCGGCACTTGGCTGTGGAGTGGGGTCCCCAGAATATCCGTGTCAACAGCCTCGCCCCCGGCCCCATCAGTGGCACGGAGGGGCTCCGTCGACTGGGTGGCCCCCAGGCCAGCCTGAGCACCAGGGTCGCTGTGAGCCCGCTGCAGACGCTGGGGAACAAGATGGAGATTGCCCACTGCGTGCTCTTCCTGGCCAGCCCTCTGGCCTCCTACGTGACGGGGGCCGTGCTGGTGGCTGATGGCGGGGCGTGGTTGACATTCCCAAATGATGTGAAAGGGCTGGCGGATTTTGCATCCTTCTGTGCTAAGCTCTAGGATTCTTCTGGGCCCTGCTTCCCGCCGCCTTGCACAGCCAGGTGGAGAGCGCCAATCTGAACCAGCAGTGCCCGCAGCCCAGCCCCTCCTCTGGACATCCAGCTGTTTCCACCGTCTCCCTCCCTCCCCATGGCTCCACCTCCGGGGCAGGAGCAGCTGGACAGTGGGCCTCCCTGTGGAGCTGCCACGCAGGTGGTGAGGATGCCGACGAGATGCTGGGAGGTCCTCTGCCCCGCGGTCAAGGCTGTCCTGCCTGCCTGGGTTCAGGGCCTGAGGGAGCCACGTGGATGGAGATGCTGGGAGTTCCCCTGCCCCGTGGTCAAGGCTGTCCTGCCTGCCTGGGTTCAGGGCCTGAGGGAGCCACGTGGAACCTGAAACTTGTGTTCTCTTCACTGAAAATGCTGAGGTGCTCCTGTCTGTGCCCAAGAGCTGGCACGGCCCTCAGGCTGCCCACAGGGTCCACCCCTCTGTTTCTGCACCACCAGTTTGCATAAATACACTTCCCTACAATCTTGCCAGGAGAAAAAAAAAAAAAAAAAAAAAAAAAACTCTCTTGAGATCTTTCAGACTCTGTGTCTTCGTCCTCCTCTGGGTATTCTTCCCATGATTTTAAGTCATCCACCTGTGAAGTTTCTTTATCTGAGTCTTGGTTTTTATTCATCTCCTCTTGCATTGGATCCATGGAGTTCTCTACTTATATATATGTAAACATATATATCTAATGTTATATATATAGTATATATATATACTATATGAGTGTATATATTAAAATTTGTCATATCCACAGGGTCTAGCCATGGCTAAGGAGATTGGTGCTGTAAAATACCTGGAGTGCGGCCGGGCGCGGTGGCTCACGCCTGTAATCCCAGCACTTTGGGAGGCCAAAGCGGGTGGATCACGAGGTCAAGAGATCGAGACCATCCTTGTCAACATAGTGAAACCCCGTCTCTACTAAAAATACAAAAAATCAGCTGGGCATGGTGGTGCATGCCTGTAATCCCAGCTACTCAGGAGGCTGAGGCAGGAGAATTGCCTGAACACAGGAGGTGGAGGTTGCGGTGAGCCGAGATGGCGCCATTGCACTCCAGCCTGGGCAACAAGAGCGAAACTATGTCTCAAAAAAAGAAAAAAAAAAAAAATACCTGGAGTGCTCAGTGCTCACACAGCGAGGCCTCAAGACAGTGTTTGACGAATATTTTTTATATACTGATATTAAGGCCTGTAAATATTTATATTTATTTAATATATATTATTATATATATGTATATATATGTATAATAATACAATTACAAATATTTGTATATTGTGTTTATATACATATATATATATGTCTGCCCCTATGTCTGTAGGAGCCAGTGGGGGAGAGAGGTTGGAAAACATGAAACGGGTTACTTGATTGGTGATTAGATGGCTGTAGAGAAGCAAGTTAAAAGGCTAAATGGAAGGGCAAGTTTCCATCATCTATAGAAAGCTATATAAGACAAGGACTCCCCATTTTTTCCCAAAGGCATTGTAAGAAGAATGAAGTCTCCTTAGAAAAAAAATTATACCTCAACATCCCCAACAAGATTGTATAATAAATTATGTTTCCTCCAAGCTTTGCAATTCTTTTAACCGTTGCAGAAGAGAAAATTTTCACAATATACTTAGTTGTAAACCTTGTAAACCAAGTGATAAAACTACACATTATGAAGCTCATTTTTAAAATACATTGTATTTATGTGTATGCACAGTAAAAATGGAGCATATATTTAAAAAAAAAAATTGTACGGCAGGAGAGGCCTGCCTGGCGTGCAGCATCCTACCCCACTGGGTCCTGTGGTCTGAGTAGCAATGTTGGCCACTCTCTGGGTGTGGGGCACCGTGCATAGCACCCGGGTGGAGGCCTGCCTGACACCACTGATGTGGGCTGGGGGGCACCGAGGCATCACTGGTGGTCGAACCATCGAGGCACCTGGAGGGTAGGCAGAGGAAGGTCTAGGTGGCTGGGACGTCCACCTGGGGGCAGGCTGGGTGGGTGTCACTGGGCCACAGCCATAGTACGAAGCCGGGGCTGGAGGCTGGGGCACGGCAGGCAGGAAGTAGCTGGAGGGCTGCTGAAAGGAGCCCAAGAGGGGGTTGCTCAGGGTCCGCATGGTGGAGAGGCGCTGCATGTACTGGTTGGTCAAGATGGCCTTCCGCTCCTCTTTGCGCTGGGCCAGTGCCACGTAGAGTGGCTTGGTGCCCACGAGGCGCCCGTTCATCTCTGTCACAGCCTTTGTCGCCTCTTCTAGGGAGGAAAAACACACAAAGCCAAACCCCTTGCCGTGGCTGCCCTCTGTCATCACCTTCGCACTGGTAATCACTCCAGAGGGAGAGAACTCTTTCCTCAGTTTGTCGTCATCAATAGAGTCATCCAGGTTCTTCACGTGAATGTATAAAAATATACATTTATAATATATATTATATTAGTACATATAAATATATATGTACTAATATATATAATTATATATTTTATATATAATATATATACACATATATACATATATATTTTAATATATATGTATATATATACATATATGTATATAAATATATATAAATATATATACATATATATTTATATATTATAAATACAGATTTATATAAAATCTGCCACACATATGTTTGTGGCACACTCATTAGCACGCATAAAACAGAAAAAAAAAAAAAAAAGGTCTTGGCCTCCCGCATGCTGGGATTACAGGCATGAGCCACTGTGCTTGGCATCTATTCATCTTTAATGCCAAGTAGGCAACTGAATATTCCGACCAGGGATAGGATTGTTTACCTGGGGCATATAGACACACTCGAAGTCATGGATCTGGTGGAAATCACTGAAGGGGTCGCGTAGAAGAGGAGAGGGGTCCCAAGATCAAGCCAGCAAAGGAGGCAGGAAAGGCCCCAGGATGCAGGCCCTGGTGCTTCTCCTCTGGACTGGAGCCCTCCTCGGGAACAGCAGCCGCCAGAACCCCTCCGGCCGCCCGGAGGAGGGCTCCCCAGACCCCGACAGCACAGGGGTGCCGGTGGAAGAGGAGGATCCCTTCTTCAAGGTCCCTGTGAACAAGCTGGCAGCGGCGGTCTCCAACTTTGGCTATGACTTGTACCAGGTACAATCCAGCATGAACCCCATGGCCAATGTGCTCCTGTCTCCACTCAGCGTGGCCACCGCGCTCTCCACCCTCTCGCTGGGAGCGGAGCAGCGAACGGAATCCATCATTCACCCGGTTCTCTGCTACGACCTCATCAGCAGCCCAGACATCCATGGCACCTATAAGGAGCTGCTTGACACTGTCACTGCTCCCCAGAAGAACCTCAGGAGTGCCTCCCGGATCATCTTTGAGAGGAGGCTGCGCATCAGATCCAGCTTTGTCGCACCCCTGGAAAAGTCGTACGGAACCAGGCCCCGGGTCCTGACAGGCAACCCTCGCTTGGACCTTCAGGAGGTCAACAACTGGGTACAGGCGCAGATGAAAGGGAGGCTCGCCAGGTCCACGAAGGAGATGCCCAGTGATGTCAGCATCCTCCTCCTCGGCGTGGCACACTTCAAGGGGCAGTGGGTAACAAAGTTTGACTCCAGAAAGACTTCCCTGGAGGATTTCCACTTGGATGAAGATAGGACTGTGAGGGTCCCCATGTCAGACCCTAAGGCTATTTTGCGCTATGGCTTGGATTCAGATCTCAACTGCAAGATTGCCCAGCTGCCCTTGACCGGAAGCATGAGTATCATCTTCTTCCTGCCCATGAAAGCGACCCAGAATTTGACCTTGATAGAAGAGAGCCTCACCTGTGAGTTCATTCATGAGATAGACCGAGAACTGAAGACCGTCCAAGCGGTCCTGACCGTCCGCAAGCTGAAGCTGAGTTACAAAGGCGAAGTTACCAAGTCCCTGCAGGAGATGAAGCTGCAATCCCTGTTTGATTCACCAGACTTTAGCAAGATCACAGGCAAACCTATCAAGCTTACTCAAGTGGAACACTGGGCTGGCTTCGAGTGGAATGAGGACGGGGCAGGGGCCACCCCCAGCCCAGGGCTGCAGCCTGCCTACCTCACCTTCCCCCTGGACTATCACCTCAACCAGCCTTTCATCTTCGTACTGAGGGACACAGACACCAGGGCCCTTCTCTTCATTGGCAAGATTCTGGACCCCAGGGGCACCTAATACCCCAGTTTCATATTCCAGTGCCCTAGAAGAAGACCCCAGAGGGACAGATTCCACACCACCCGAAGGCTGCCCCTGTTACCTTTCAGTGCATACAATAAAAGAGCTCGATCCTTAAAATATATATATATATATTTTATATATATTTACAGACTAATTATTATATTTTATATTATATACATAATATGACTTATATATATAATATATATAATATAATATATATATTATAACATATGTTGAGTGTATTAAGTGTCCTGTGATGTTTGTTGGCTCTGTTGTGTTTATTCACCAATTTGTACATTATTTGTTGTCCTTTACTACTGTAAACAGTAAATATAGTTTGGTATTCTGTCTAAAAAAAAAAATACAAGAATGTGCTTTAGAGTATGTGAGCAACTTGTCTTCAGTGTAGTGCAAAGGCAGAGTGAGGAGGCCTGTGGCCCCTTCTCATTCTACTCCCCATTCAGCACAGCTGCCATCTGCAAGGAGTGCCTAATCATGCTACAATCATTGCCCACTGACCCTCACCCAGTGGGCCTCCCCCTTCCTACTCAGGCACCCCCTTCACTCTGCCTACAGACTCAGTCTCATTACAGCTTTGACCAATGGTTGGAACCCAACACCAGAGCTTTGCTAATAATTAGTGTGGTCATCTGAGCCTAATGAGTCCCAGTTGCATTAGGTTAAGAGACTCTTCTGGAGCCAGCGCCAGGTCTTGAATGGCACCTCTCCCTAGGATAAACAGCCTGCAGGTCCCTGGGACCTGGGTGACACCTGCCTCACTGTGGCAGTGTATTGCCTGTTAATTGCTGCTAATTCTAATTCTGATGATGACTGCTACTCCATTGTTTACCCCAAAGCATCTGCTAGGCTGGAGTGATTTGTTACAAATGAGCGAAAGATGAGTCCCTGCTTCCCTCAGAAATAAAGGAGCTGAGCTGCAGGGTTGCATTGGGTTCCTTGGCCTTCAAACTCTTCCCACTCCCCAAATCCAGAAGTAAGCTTTGCATGTTCCCCTTCCTGGGAGGAAACCAATTGTCCGAAGGGTATATGTTGCCTCCCTTCCCCTCATCCTTCACTTCCTAAGCAGTCCTGGCTTTTCCTCATCACTCTCCTCTACAGTGCCTGGTAGACAAGTGCTACATTGAAGAATACAAACCTCTTGTTAAGACTTGTCCTGTAGCTTGGTATTACAGATGTGCTATTAGTGCAATAACGTGACGGCTGTCTGCTCAGAGAAATACATAATTTATATAAGAAAATAAATTTCATAAATAAATTCCCTAAAAAATTTTTTTTTGATAATGTATAGTTTTAATTTTCTTACTTTTCTGCATTTTACAAGATTTAGTATTTTTTATTAATGAACTCTTTATCTGAAACTTAAGATGATGGCTTCATAAACCTGTCAGTCAACACACAAACCTCTACAAAACTCCAGAAGTTTCTCCATCAGAAAGAAAAAGGAAGAAGCATCCAGGCACGTGAATATCATTTCTATCCTTATCCAGCTCAGAAGGCTTTCTCCTCTGGCTTATGAGTCGCTGTATTAGCTTCTGATGTTAATTTAATCTCAGATTTCTCATTCCTCAAAGGAGTAAGAGGCTGAGACACACAAACAAATTATATATATATATACGTAAACTTCTATAATACATGGAAAATAAATGTTCCATGAAGTGCCAAAATTATGATGTGAAGTGAAATATCAAGAACACCTTATAAAATTTATTTTTTGTTTCTTTACCAATTTCACATTCATTAGTTTTAAAAACTAGTCTTCTCAGTTTGCCCATCAATTGTCTTTGTTAAATTGGTTTATATTGCCCAAGGTATTGGCCATAGATCAGAAAACATTTATTACTCAATTTCCGTTTTATTTACTTACCTCATTATAGATGTCTTACAAATACCCTTTTCTACCATAACTAGAAATGCAGTCACTTCTAGAAAGCATTTGTAATTTTATAGTTGCAGATATATTGTGATTTTTGCATACAAATTAAAATAGAAAAGGTGGGAAATATTTTCTGCTGACCAGTTTCCAACCTTTCTGAAATATCACTGTGAAGAAATGCTATTAAAGCAAACTAACACAAAGCAATGCTAGAGTTTGTTAACAATGTTTGGTATATATTGACAAAACTTTGTTCTTTAAAACTGCCAAGGTCACATCACATTTGTAAAAATGGAAAGTTGATGCATTTGTCATATAGTGTTATGTCTTGCCTATACCATATTTCATTCTTTAAAAAGTCATTGGGTTAACAGTTTAGAAATGGGACGGAAAGTTTATTTACTAAAATACCTGTAAGTAACTATATTGTTGTTATCTTCCCTCTGACAGTTATGACTATTTCCTTAACTCCATAATCAGTTCGATGCTTTCTTTTAAAAAAATACTCAATGATTATTACTGAATGCAGCATTACTATGTATCGTACTGATGCCAAAAGTCATGTTTTCATCCATTTAGTGAAAAAATAGTAAAATTAAGTTGGAAGAAATTGCTTACAATTTTGTAATTTGTACTTATAAGCCCTAAATGCATCAGATGCAGTAGAACAATGTAATACAGCTTGGTACCTAAAAATACACCTAAGTTGGTTTTTCACTATAAAACAGTTTATGAATATTTGCATTTTCTGTATTTTTATGATTTAACTTTTTAGAGTCTATGCCAAACTATATGGCTGTAAAAAACAGTACTTTGTAATTATAACTTATGGTCATAACTGTTAGTGGACTACTTACAGAAGCAGAAACAAGAACCTGTTATAGTAACTGTGCTTCATGAACAAGCTGATCTAATATGTTAAGAACAGCAGATATTACTATCATGACTGTCAGAACCATTCTGCTACTGACTGACTGTGAAATCACACACTGGACGTTGGCTAATTCATGTTAAACTGTTCAGCCATTGCTTTGTTAATGACTTCTCTAAATACATAGCATGATGCGATCCTCTGGCATATGCTTTAATAAATGGATGCATACTGAGCAAAAAAAAAATACATATATTTATTTATATATGTAAACTATAATTTTCTATTCTGTGTTGTGTTTTCAGGCACAACACCTGGGGGACATACAGTTGTGCCTTTCCACAGGTGTTCCTTGCAGAGGACTTACTGAGACCATCAGAAGGCAGTGCTCCTCTGTCTACCTTTCTCCCACATAAACTCTGCACCACCGCCTGCTGGAACCCAAAGATGAAAAACAAGATTACACTGATGTCCGAAAATGGCCGTGGAAAAAAGACAGAAATTATCACCTTTGATCTAACAGCCAGGAATACTGGAGGTCAAACAGCCGTCCAAGCATATGAGATCTCAAGTTTCCAGTTGGCACCTCATCTGAAGTGCCCTTTCTGGATAGGAGCCAGTGATGGATACTCGGTTGTCTTTCCCAGTGGGCCATACTTGCTCCTCTTCAGCATCACTGGCCTCCTGCTGCAACGATTTCAGGACCACCAGACACCCATCAACAACTTCTGGGCGAATGCTCTCTATGTGCTCACCACATCCGATGACTCTGTGCACCTGTACCTGTGGGAAGAGGGAGGCTGCCCTCCATACCTCAGGATCTGCTGTCACCTGGACATTACATGGTGTGATCATGTACCACATGGCTTTATCTCCTGTGTGATGTGTGACAATGCAAGCATAGTACTTAAGGTGAGAAATATAACCGAATCCAGCATTGTGGTGATGCATTATTTGAATACGTAATACGGAAGCTAACAAAATTGACTTTGCATAATCTTCCGTAATGTAGTAAAGAGAATTCTGTTTGCAAAAAATATATATATATAAAATTTTTTATACACACTGAACACACACTTATAATTATATATATATTGTGTATAAAATATTGTATAATTAAACTTATTATATATATTTATATATAGTATATATAATGATCCCAGTGCAGGCTGGGATCATTTTGGCAGAGTTGGTTCACAGACCATGTGCCCTCAAAATTACCCACTCTGGGAATACTTTCTCCATCTGTGTATTTGAAGAGGGAAGCTAATAACTTCTTTTGATGCTCATTTTGATCGATCTTCAAAGGTCTACTGTGTGCCACCCTCATAGAAGTATCAGGAAATCAGAAGAGGAAGCGAAAAATGGGGGAAGGAGGCCACATTTTTTAGGACCCTGAGTGAAGAGATGGGCTCCTTCCCTTTTGCCTCCCCAGGCGTGGCAGCTGACAGTGTCTAGGATGAGGGCACAGTGTACACCCTTCTCATTCTGATCCTGTCCTGGCCCCACAAGCCCCTGAGACAGAGATCTCTAGGACAGTAGTGTGGTTTGTGTGAATGCTGGACTGGAAGTCAAGAGGGCAGGATTCTAGTCCACACTCTGCCTCTGCCCCTGACTCATGTGTGACATGAATCTCTCCACTTCCTCTCTTTGGTTCCCCATGTGGCTCTGTCCATCGGATGGCTCTGTTCTGGATGTCTTCCAGGAGTCACAGCGCCAAAAAACAACAGAACTGGAAAGACCCTGAGAGGTTCAACACTCTGACAGCTTGGCTGGGGAAACAGGTCCAAGTGGGCCGGGGACCTGGCCAGAGTCACACTGTGTTGTCTCTTCTTACCCCACAATTCACACACCCTGTCCCCACTCCCCCGTGGCAATGTGGAACACTGGTGTTGGCGACTCAAGTGGAACAGGTTCTCTGCAGCATCATCAGCACAGGCTATGGGAGAAACGGGTGACTTCTCCCCACATCTGCCTATCTCCTTTTCTCTTTTTTGAGACCGAGTTTTGCTCTTGTCACCCAGGCTGAAGTGCAATGGTGTGATTTCAGCTCACCACAACCTCCATCAACCGGGTTCAAGTGATTCTTCTGTCTCAGCCTCCCAAGTAGCTGGGATTACAGGCATGTGCCACCATGCCTGGCTAATTTTGTATTTTTAGTAGAGATGGGAATTCTCCATGTTGGTCAGGCTGGTCTCAAACTCCCAACCTCAGGTGATCCATCCGCCTCTATACACACACATGCAGACGGACTTCCCTTCCTTCAGCACTCTGGTTCCTCCCCTTAAAGGAGCTTTCTTTCCTTTTGAAGAGACTATTTTAATAATACATGGGAGGCTTTGGGGTGAGTGGCTCCCCTGGCTGTGGCAGCTCAGTGCTATTTTTCAGTTTCTGAAAATTATATATTAATATATTATACATATTAATTCTATATTATATATAAATATATTATATATATTTATATATAATATATTAAATATTTATATAATATTTAAATATATAATATTAAAAAACATTTATATTGTACATTTATATACAAATAAATAAATATATTATTTATTTATTTATTTATTTATTTTGGGTCCACATGTTAACAACTCATTTATTCAGCAAAGAGATCACCCAGCCGCCATTCTCCTATGAACAATGCTCACTGCTACCTGAACATTTTAAAGTGCGTTATAAGTTGTTTTGATGGAGACAGCTGTAGCTTTTCACTACATTTCAATTACTGAATTGTTTTTTCACCTTGATAACTTAGGGTCAGTAGAAAGCTATTTACTTGTATGTTATAGTCAATATACTATGCTAAATGCCCATTTGTAACTGCAACAAACTCACACACACTATGAGCTATATCATACAAAATCATGACCATGAGTTTCAGTGAGAGACTCTGTCTCTCTCTTAAAGCAAGAAATATCCCACAGCTCAGATTTACATAAGTAGTGCCTCCTTTTAAATAAATTAAAAATCAAATGCTGTCCTGCCTGTAAAATTATAAATATTGCTAATCCATTTAACAGAATGTTAAAATGTTTATAAATGCATTATGTCCCAGTAAATAAACATGGAACTCAACCTCATTTAAAAAAAAGTCATCACACTGGCCCATCGAAGTATCTAGGATATATCTGCTTGGGCCTGACTGCCTGCTTGTGCTCGGCCACAGAAGACGCCAATTTGGGTGCATAGGGATCGAAAATGACATCGAAGTCCTCGTCCAGCTCCACAGGGCTTCTCGGCACATTATAATCCACGCTGCGGTAAAATTTGGCAAAGGTTTCGTCATCATCCGGCTTCATCACCTCCTTCACAGATTTGCCGGTGACGGTGAGCACCGTTTCTTGCATCCCACCAACTTTGTTATTCAGCCTCCTTAGAAAGGTTTCCAGCCTGTCCAACTTCAGGTCTGATTCTATCTGCATATCTGGTCTGGCTTCGACATCTTCCAGGGGTTTGGAAACGGGTGTGGTGCCTCTTGTTTTACTGCAAATCGGCGAGGCCACGGGGGTTATGACAGTGGGTGACGCCAAACATTTCTTCACCATCCTGCCAGCCACGGTGAACTGGATGGAGTCATTGGCCGCTCCTCTGCCTCTCGTCTTCCAGGCCTCCTCCCTCACAGTGATGAGCTGCTTCCGCTCCTCAATCGTCATTTGGCTCTCTCGACTTTCTGTGACCCGCTTCTTGATGAGGGACCACCCCGCTTCCTGGGTGTGCAGGCTGCTGGCCGGCGCCTTCCCGCCCTCCTGCCTCCTGCTGAGTCTGTTTCTCCAGTCTTCCTCCCGGCTCTTCTTCAACAGTGCCAATCTTTCTTTAATAGACATGGTTTTGCTGGGTGAGTCGGAGAGGCCCTCCCCCCTCGGAGTCTTGATTTCTCCAGCAGCAAACATCGCACATGGATTCCTGCAGATCCTCTCCTGTGGCTGTTCCGGAGAATCCTGGAGCTTCCAGGACGCGAGGGCTGCTGGTTGGGCCACCGTTTTCCCAGCAGCTGCCCCCGTCTGCTCGGAAGCCGGCTCCCCGAACTCTGCCGCTCTTAGTGAAAACTTCCTTTTTATAACATTCTCCACCTCCACCTTCTCTTCAAAGGGCGGCCTGTCTCTCAAGTCCAAGTTTCCTTGCGCACTTGTTTTAGCCAAGGAAAATTTCTTTGGTTCATCCCCAAGGTGAGTGATGGGAGGATTCACCCGTTCCAGGCTTCCTTTCCTGGGGATGTAGTTAGGTTCCTTATGGCTGTCTCCTTCCCTGGCTCTGTTCAGGATGGGGTAGGATGCTTCTACCTCAAAGGACCCATACTTCTCCAACCCGCTGTCTCGACCTGTCAAAGCTCTCTTGCTTTCCGTCTCTCCATATTCTCTCAACGTTCCCTTGTTCCCGCTACTTTCTACCAAGGGCTGCCAAGCTGGCGATTTTAGAATGCTTCTAACTGGAGAGTCTGAATTTTCCATTGAAGAAGAAAATTTACAGTCAGTGGCACTTGCATTGTCATCAAGAGGTGGCTTCGTGCAAAGATCCCCGGCATACATTGGGGCAACCGTGGATGCTACTGTAGACACCGATGTGTTCACAGCAGGCGAGAAAGGAATAAGCTTTCCACTCTGCACCTGCGCCACCTCTCCCAGCGTGACTGGCTGAGTTTGATATCGAGAGTTCATTCTCCGCTGTCTCATATCTATTCTGTTCCGGGTGGAAATCGCCTTTGAAACTGGCTGGGACAATTTGTTAAACAAGGCCAACTTCTTGGCTAAGCTTAGAGTGGAGGAATCAGGTTCTCCTTGCTCAGTCAGCTCTTTGCCCTCATTTGACTGGTCTTTGGCTAAAGCCTTTTGGTGAGCAGAGGCCTATAATGTGGCCGCGATGACTACCTCCTCGGTGGTGATGGGCTGCGTGAGGGATCTGTCCTGCAGACGGCGGAGCCTCTGCTCCACAGCTGTGTTTCTTGAGCGTCGCTTTGGAACATTTTGTTCATCAAAAGATTTTTCCATCTCCCTGAAAAGCAGCCTCTTGGCGGCGATGCTCAGCTTGGCTTGTTCATCTACTTTTTCTTCATCATCAGTAGTTGGCGTTTCTGACTGTGAAGTGCACCTGGGTCTGGCCTCAGGGGGTAGCTGTGGGTCACCAAAGGAGGCGCTCCGGGAGGCCGCCTGCTGCAGGGACGAGCTGTGCGCGTGCTTTGGAGACTGTGGCACTTCCGTTAAGGAGGATTCTCGCCCAGAGAAAGAGAAGGTCAAGGAACTCCCGGCAGCTGGGGGCAGGTCGTGGTCCTGCCAGGTGGCGTTTAGCTCTTGATCTTGTCTTTGGTTTTCTATGTTCAGCAGCACCTCCTGGTCAGAAGAGCTATCACCCCCGCGGAGGGCATAGTCCTTGGATTCACCTGCACAGGTCCTGAGCCCCATCGTCTCTGTCCCGGGGTGTGGAGAACTCATCCCTGTTTGACTCCTCCTGTTTGTCACTTTTTCCTCCCCGCTTCTCGACAGCGTCAGGCTCCTTCCTGGACTTGGGATAGCGGGATAAATACTCGGAGTCGGCCTCGGGATCCAGAGTCAGCCCATATTTCTTTGCCAACTGTCGTCTTCTTTCTGCTTTGTACCTTGTGATTCTTTCCGCTTTGGACTCCAGACTGTGGGTGTCCATGGTACTAAAACCATAGGGTGAGTCACCGTGGACGCCGGAGGTTTCTGCGCAGTATTTAGATCGAGTTTGCTTTTCTAGAGGAGAATCAGAAGTTTCCTCCTCTTCATTTGATCGGCCGATGTGGGGGCTGGTAGGGTCGCTGGCTCGCATGTATCGAGCCAGCGACCCTACCAGCTGAGTGTCTTCCTCCAGCAGGCGGTGAGTCACTAACCCTGTGCAGCTCTGCAAGAGGATGGGCTGGGTGTCATTTTCAATTCCTTCCAGGTGCCTGGCAATTCTTTCTTTTCTTTTCATTTCTAAGAATTCTTTTTTCTTTGGTTCAAAGATTTGTGTTAATTCTGCAACTTTCGGAAATGCAGCTGAAAGCTTAGCATCGATTCCTCTTTTGTGGTTAGGGAGCTGTTCTTGATCTTCCAGTGACAACTCTTTCTGAAAGCTTGAAACTTTTCTTTGACGTGGGAATCCAACGAAGCTTAAGTTTTTCTTGTTGAAATCTTAACGCTGATAGTTATATCATGGCTTCAAATGTGAAATTACTTCAAAATCATAGTATCTCAGCTTTTCAAGCCCTCAACACCATCCACTTGAACTCTCTCTTTTATTCCACCAGTCAAAACTCAATGCGAATCCACCATCTCTTTATCAGCTTCTCTTTCGGTTTTAGAAAGCAACCAATCTCCAATACAGCCAGAATCTTTTCCGCGCGCTCCTGCAGATCCCCGACAGCTCCAGCAGTCCTCGCCCACCTGCCGGGCCCGGGCCAGGGGTGCACACTAGCGAGGTACCTCGGTGGGGAGGAACGGTCCCCTGCCCAAGCTGGCTCTGGAGGAGGTGGGGTCCCCGGGAGAGTCGGCCCGGGCCACTGTCGCCATCGCCGCCGAGCAGAGCCAGTGGCGAGCTCGTCAGGGCGGACCGGGCGCCTCCGTCCCCGACAGCTGGCCCGCGAGTCCCGGGACCTGAATCACCTTAAGCGCAGGCTTACGGTGACCTGAGTCACCTGGTGTCTGCCACCATGAGTGGGGTCACCACATGCCTGCGCTTCCCGGGCCAGCTGAATGCCGACCTGCAGAAGCTGGCTGTGAACATGGTTCCATTTCCCCGGCTGCACTTCTTCATGCCCGGCTTTGCCCCGCTGACCAGTCGGGGCAGCCAGCCGTACCGGGCCCTGACCGTGGCTGAGCTCACTCAGCAACTCTTCGAAGCTAAGAATATGATGGCCTCCTGTGACCCCAGTCATGGCCGCCACCTAACCGTGGCTGCCGTTTTTAGAGGTCGCATGTCCATGAGGGAGGTGGATGAGCAAATGTTCAACATTCAGTATAAGAACAGCAGCTACTTTGCTGAGTGGCTCTCTCATAACGTGAAAACAGCTGTCTGTGACATCCCACCCCGGGGACTAAAAATGTCGGCCACCTTCATTGGTAACAACACAGCGATCCAAGAGCTCTTCAAACGCGCCTCCGAACGGTTTATAGCTACGTTCAGGCGCAAGGCCTTCCTGCACTGGTACACGGGCGAGGGCATGGATGAGATGGAGTTCACCGAGGCCGAGAGCAACCTTAATGACCTGGTGTCAGAATACCAGCAATATCAAGATGCCACAGCTGAGGAGGAGAAGTTTGAGGAGTGTGCGGAGGAGGCGGAGGTAGCCTAGAAGCTTCCTTTTCTAGGTAAAGGGGGAAGCAGTGTGGATTCTTTAGCGTGTTCTAATAGCCATTGTCACTACACACTTCTTTGGGTCTTTACATCTCCTCCTGCTGCATTTTAAAGCATTTTCATAGTAAGTAGTTTGACCTAATAAAACATTTCTATAGCAAAATATATATATATTTTTATAAATATATATAATATATGTATATATATTATTTATATACATAATTATATATATAATTACGTATAAAATATTGATATATATAATTATGCATATATAATTTATATATATAATATTTATATATATATTTTTTAACTCTTTGCTAACATACATAATATTTAAATACGAGGAAAAACAATAAATTACTTATTGGCTGAGAGCTGGCTGCTGGCTGGAAGACAGGAGTGGCTATTCCCCTACCTCTTCTGACCCTGCCTCGGATGAGGCCCCGGGACCCCAGTGAGGTAGCAGAATTCTGTACACAGTACTTATTACCAGGGACTCCTGGTGCCCACTGCTTTAGTGCTGGGCCCTGAGTCTACGAACCCTTGGTTTCAAGTGCCAACAGCCACAGTCTCTCGATCACCAACGCAGACAAACACACTCATTTAAATGACACACAATAATAAATAAGACCAAGAATAAATGTGCCTGAGCTGCTGGCTGCCTCAGTTGCCACTGTGTGAAGTGGCAAATTGTTTAGATACTTTTTGCCACACATGCATATCCATTACTCTGCCAGTGATGGATACTTGGTTGTCTTTATAGAAAAAAAACATTGTGTATATATAATTATATATAATTATATATACATAATTGTATATATATACAATTATGTATATATAATTATATATAATTTTGTTTTCCACAAAGCAGTAATACTGTTATTCCCATCAGTGTTGCTGACGGGCCTGACCCTTTACAGAGAAAAGGTTAGGAAAATAGAAGTGGGCAGGGGCCCCGGGCACCTCCATTCTCGTTGCCCCACCCTTTATCCCCTGCCAGAGTCGGCGCCTTCAGACCAGAAGGTGTAGGGAGGGCCTGGTGGGGCTCCCCAGGTAAGGCCACGTGCTGGCAGAGAGGAAGGCGAGGGCAGGGAAGCCTGGGCCCAGCAAAGCTCTTCTGGTGCAGGTAGCATACGGAGAGGGTGATAGGTGGGTGGTTTTCCTTGGTGACCAGTCCTGGGCTTTCAGCTCCCCACTGCGGCTTCATGGGGGTCCCTGCTGGCTCCGCCGCTCCTCCAACGCCCTGCACACCCACATGGACACCACAGTGGTTTCCGTCATTGAACTGCAGATGAACGGGTGGCCCTGCTTCCTGGTCAGAGCTTCTTTGATCTGGGCTGGGATCCAGGCATTTTTTCTTTAGCTTTTTAAACTTCTCAGATGACTCTGGTGAGCTGCTAGGGTTGAAAGCTGCTGTACTACATGGACTAACTTGTGGCCGTAAGATGAATAGATAATTAAATGCTGCTCCAAGCTAGACACAATACGTACTGGAGGGCTTCAGAGCAGGCAGCAAGCAACCGTAAAGGCGAAGAGTAGGGAAAAGCCGCAGGGAGGAGGACCAAAACCTTCCCGGGGAGGGGAGAGGAGCTTTTTTTTTTTTTTTCCTTCATTTTAGGACTAAACTTTAATAGAATGTGAGTCTGAACACTTACATTTAGAACAAACAAAACCTTAAAATTACTGATTGGTTCAAAATGGTTTTATGGAAAAATTAATCTTTAACAAAAAGTTGGCATTGAGTGCAAAGGCTCCACCGTTTTTTGAGCAAAGCGTACAAAGGTTCCAAGGGACAGTGCCAAGAACAAGGGGCTCGGACATTTACAGCAGCAGGCATTTCCTCTTCCTCTTCTTCACGGGAGGTGGGCAGACGACTGCTCGAATTGCTTCGTCAAACCTACACATTTATTATTTTTTTATAAATTATATAAATTTATGTATATACTGGGTATATGAATATATAAATTGTATATATATACACATATGTATGTATACATAGGTCTCTATATGAGTGTATTAGGTTCATAAGCGCAACACGTGTACCTGGTGACAGAGCCGATGCGGGGCGGGGAGCTGCTGGACAAGATCCTGCCCCTGGATAAAAAATATGTATAGATATGTATATATATTGTATATAAAATTATATTAAAATATATATAATATAATTGTATACATTATATGTTATATATATTTAAATATACATATTTAATTATATATATTATATATAATAAATATTATAAATATATATTTATAATATATAATTATAAATTTTTTGTATATAAATAAATATATAAATATATTGTATAATAAATATATATATATTTATTTATTTATTTTTAAGTATTTAAAGAAATTTATTAAAGCATCTTACCACAAAGATGGAAACATATGCAAACTAGAAACATGCAACCATCACCTTCCACAGTCAAGTCAAAATGTCAAATAATGTTCTTGTTTTCGTAGATTGAAAATTCAGACCTCATACCCAACTACTTTGTCACCCTGAATATTTAAGTCACTCTTCCTGAAAGTACCCAGGGTAGCAAATAACAAAATGCAAAGTATTATATAAAGAAAGTGCAGTTAAAAAGGAAAATATGTGGCGAGCACCCCCTTTCCCTTCCCACCCCCCAATTAAAGGCAAACAATGGCACTTTGCTCTTAATCTAGATTGTCTTCAAAAACTATTAAAATGTAAAAGACTTAACAAAAAAAAAAAGATGTTTAATAGTCCAAAAAGCTCCTTAGTGTTTGAAATAAATGCTTAAACAAAAGACAACATATTTTATATAAAATGAGTCTGAAGAGCCCTGAATTGCAGCATTCTGTAAAATAAACAAGACAAAAAGCTGGCATAGGATTTATTGTCAAAGGCAGAATTTCTTCAGGCAGGTAATTAAGGAGGTGGTGGTTCTTTTTCAGGCATTTTCATGGCCATTTCATAAGTTGGCAAAACATACTGAGGAGGTGCTTCAAAGGCAGGGTACACAGCAATCTCTGGCACGTTTCGGTTGTTGATGTATTTATAGCAGTTCCAAACACAGTTGATTAGATAAGCCTTAAAAATGATGAATAAGGCAAAGAACGCAAGAACAATGAACAGGAGGCAGCTAGAGTCCAAGGCCAGGAGGTCATCTTTGTAGGGAAAATCAGGGAATCGTAACTTTGAAGTTATTAACTTATATCTTATATATAAGATATAAGTTAATAACATATATATATATAAGTTAAATATTATATAAAATTTTATATAATACATATATAAATGTATATTATAAAAAATAATATAGAAGTAAATATATATACATATTTATTTAAAATATATGTTATATATATTTTATATATATAAATATAAATATTATTTTATATAAAAATATATATATATTTTTTGACATATCTCACAGGATTTATCACAAAATGTTACTGCCCAGTGCATTTTTGCAAACAATAACAATTCACTGAGAGTAATAACATTCACATATGTAATTAGAGTTTACAAATGTACAAAACTTGGGGTAACAAACACTTTAAACTTATTTTTTAGACATTCAATAAGCCCATTCCCCCCACAAACTGTTTGGTTACAAAGAAGCACGATGGGTTAACTGTGGCAAAACATAAGAAATAAGGCAGGGGAGGCAGATACAGACTTGAAAACATGAGAATATCCAAATAATTTTGTCAATATCAAAAGACAAAATCAAGAGATCTTTTATAATATAAAACAAATTCATATAATTAAATACTAATTAGGTGAAAGAATATTATAGGGTATATAACATTTTCTCTACATAATAAATTTGCATATCTTAAATTTAATGCAAAACATCATGTGTCAACTTCAACTTAATATCATAACATAGTTCTTGGTGAGTCTAGATGGAATGGAATGAATAGTTAAATAGATTTCAAAGAACCTATCAAGTTTTTATTTGGTTATTGTTGCTTTAAGTCTTTAATGCATTTATTTACTGGACTAAGCCAGTTTGAGAAACAAAATCCACAACCAACATGCATATAATGCAGATTTTTCTGGAAAAACTAAATAGTGTTAGCTTTAGTGTATCATTAAAATAGTGGTTGTGGTTAAACAAGCAAACTACTGCAACTCATGTATGATAAACTTACAAAAAGTAACATTTTAGTAGTTTCATCTGGTGTGTGTTCACTGTAAGAAAATAAATCTGGACGTGAGTAAGATGTGCTTGACTGAATAAATGAAATCCCCAGTTAGCACTGGGTTTCGTTCCAGAGCAGTGCATTTGTCCTCACATATTACATCAGGAATGTGTGTTCACAATCCACCAGCTGCAGGTTTTAATTTACTAAGAAATGAAAGGAATTAATCCTGGTCCACCCACTCCTTCCTCTCTCGTTTTATTATCTTCACTTCGAGATCAGGCACTTTGTGCCCAGGATTGTGACAATACACATTTACTAAAAATGCATCCATTGATATAATAATCGTACGAAATGAATAAAGGAAGACGGTGTCTTCATGTAGAAAACAGAGCACTAAATTATAATTTTACAGTCACAACACAAGCTCCAGCTCTTCCTAGGCACAGTGGAGCAACCTGGGTCCACTCATTTGTCTGGGGATCATAAGCCTCCACTGTATTAAGGTATGCCTGTCCATCATATCCCCCCACAGCATATAACTTATCACCAAGTAAACTTATTATATACTATTATATATGGACATATATATATATATATATATTTATTTATTTCATATATATGTAAGATGTTTTTGTTGTCACATTTAATATAATAAAAATAATATATATATATATATATTGTTTTCATTATTAATAAGATAAGTACTACACAGAGCCATGTAAGTGAATAGGCATGGATGCATTACCAGGGTAGCTGGGACTACAGGTGGTACCACCACACCTGGCTGCATTCAGGGAGCTGCTTAGTTTTTCTGCAAGTTTTGTTTTGAGTCATTTGAACCTATATAAAAGTTACTGTGGGACAGTGAACATTGACCAGTTGTTAATATTTTTCTATATTTCTCATCTATGTTA